TCTACAGCAAGGGCGGTGATTAATGCTCAAACATTCTTTGTGTGAGAAAGAATGCCCATTAGTGGATACTTATAGGCTTATGATGTGAAGTAACTTAGAACAAAAGTCAAACGGCCGAAAACAAAAGAATTCAATGTAAAATTAAAATTTACCATTTTGGTTGGTCCCCAGTCGTTTATACCATAATCAGTTTAAGCGGTATTACTCGCGTTCTTACAATGAAGTACTCGTATGAACCATTTTATCCAAATTATAATAAAAGTTGAATACGCCACGCGCGACTCAAGTTTTACGATGTAACATTGCGTTGGTTTGAACGCCTGTCACACCGGACTGAAAATGTTTTTCAATACACTTTGTTAAATAAATTGGTGATGGTTCTAAATTATTTTAATTAAATAACTGTTTTAAGTCTTGTCTGTGTCATCAAGTATGAGTTTTTAATGGTTGAAAAATAATTGCAAAGAATCATTTTATGACACAATAGTTTTGGAATGAATACATAATTAATAATTATAAAATGTTATTTTTCTGAAAAGTAACCCTCTCATACTTTTGACACACTTTTGACGTGGGTAAGTCAATGATTAAATGATTTCTGTCGCCCCGCCCTGGGTGAGGGTTTGTTTTGGCAACCCCAGGAGCCAAATCTTTCCCTAGAGATATAATGATCAATCTGTTCTGTATATAGCATCAATGAACTGGACCTTTAGTTCTTCACAAAAATTCACCACCTTGAATATAATTGTGAAAATAAAAAATGTGTCTAACGAAGACTGAAAAATGTGTCCCTCATTTATAATATACATATTATAATATTACATAAAATAAAATAAAGGTTATTCACCTACAACCTTTTTAAGCTTCAAGATTATATCGATCGTGTTGCCAATGCAAATAACTGTTTTAAAATTGGAATGAAACAATAACATTGAACGCATCAGCCGTTATCAAAGCTTGAATAAGCCACTCCATTTGTTTTTTGTAAAATGTGATAGAATTTTTAAATTTCAATTTATTTTACAAGTCTCTTAAGTGAGTGAGATATGTAATTATAGAAAATATTTGCCAAAAGATTTCTTTTGAATTGTTGGAATAGAGGGCAAATTTACTTTGCAAATTGAGTCCAAATTCTCAAATTGTATAACACAGATAATAAGTAAAAAGTTATAAGTACTTTGAACAACAATCAGAGGCTGGAATAGGTCATACCACTACTTCTAAAAGTTATATATTTAGAATTGAAATTGAGCGATCAACCGTAAAATATAAACATCGACATCGCGTTTGGCGCGCTGGCTGGGCCACTGGCGGCCATGCAAGGTGTCGAAGGTTTTTATTCCCGCACGGAACAACTCTTTTTGTGATCCACAAATTGTTGTCCCTTGTCTGGGTGTCATGTGTATGTGAAATTGTATGTTTGTAAACGCACCCACCACAAAGGCGAATATCCTAGAGTGGGGCAATATTGATTTTAAATCTACAAATATTAGTTCTGAAATTATTATTTCACGTGTGATTGTATTACAGAAAATCACTCCCACTACACACACAAGCGTTTAAATTCATTCGCAGCTCTGCATGTTTACAAGTCAACAACATGCTTGCATGCGAACAAAATTTAAACTCAATTACAGTTCGGTGTGACAGTCGGCCGCGTAGTAACAAATTCGTCGTTTCGCGGTACAATGCCCGCTTAATTACAAACGCTAGAGTTGACATGCGTATTACTTGCGTACGGCGCACCCGCGTACTACGCGAGATTTGCCAGGCAAACAGGGTTAGCGTAGTCGTATATGTAGCGAAAGTTTTGAACAAATTTCCAACATGCTTTTGTTATTTCTTGAATTGTGGTTGGATGCGAATTGTTTTTCGTTGTTGTGAACGAGTTTGGCATTTAAAAATCTTAGGTTTTGTAGCAATAAACTTGTTTTATGATTTTCCACCTTTTTCTCAAGGCTTTAAAGTTGTAAATCCAAAAGCAAAAAACGCAAAATATTATAACTTAGTATAAAAATATTCTAATTCTCTACAACAATACAAAGCTTCGGGATCCCGAATTTTATGTAACACCAAAACCAATTTCTCAGTTGACGACATCCAAATAATTCTAAGAATGGAATTCCTTGAAGTATTCTAGCGTTACCCAACCCTAGAGTTGTACTTAATTATTTCTTGAGAATGGAGTAAGAGTGCGGCGACGAGATGAATCTGACAGAGAGAGGATATCTCTTGAAGATTTGTTCTACATGTGTACCTACCTCTTAGAGTAATTATGTAATTATGTTACTGTATCTGTTATAGCTGGTCTTGTATTTTTTTACGAGTGCGTCGACTTTTGGGGTTTTGGAGATTTAGGGATTGGGGGTGGGATAGGGGGATGAATCTGTCTATTGAGGGGGCCCGTTCGTAGCATAGCTCTTCCACATTTAGTAGTGGTTATTAGTGAACATTATTTCTGATACATTAATATTCACTTTATCTTTTTCTATATTACCTGGACTTTACCCGCCTTGGGTTAAAGGAATGAACCTACTACCAAACAACAAAATCAAAATCTGATCATTTTTGTTTAAATTCCTCCGAATAACACCATTAGTTTTCCCCTGGAGGAAAACAGGCTCGATATTATGTAATTCATAAAAATAACTTTTGTAATCTAACTTAGAAGATTCATAATAAGCCAATCGGAATAGGGGCCCGTTACAACATCGGATTCAATGCTTCATATCGTATGAATTGACCCGACCAATCGGGAACGCGTATAAAACTATTCAAGCTTAAACATTCAAGGGTTCCGTGATAAAAATATATCGGTTTTAACCCTTAGAAAGTAATAGTTATGGAGCGAAGTAGGTTTTGGTATTAATGTCAACGGTGAAGAGATTTTTCAGGTTATTCAGGAAAATATTGGGTTATTCAAATATGGGTTTTATGGGTGAGTGGGGGTTTTATGTTGTGTGTGAGTAATGATAATGGATAGAAAGGTGGGTGAAGATTTTTGTGATGAGAATTAGTCAGTTAGGAATTGATAAAAATATGGAACTTTCAGACTTGAACATGTTAGTTCCATATGGGAAATTAAAATGCGTCTTTCGGATAAACAGTTATTGACTTTAATTAGATTTGTTAAAGTTTGATATTTTAGGATGATAGTGTAGCAGTTAATAATATGTGCGATTAGCAATCCTATAGGGAAAGATGTTCAGCAGTGGTATTTTAGAGTTACTGGACCTTTTGGAGATAAGAGTTTCAGATATTTAGGGATTGCGAGAGAGGAAGGATTTTGTATACGGTAACCTCATTCATACGGCAAAACACGATGCTGTGTGGTTTTACGCTGGTCTTTTGTGAGAGCGTATGGTATTACTCCGGTTGAGCCGACACATTAGCGCCAAAGCATGACACTTATTATGCCACATTATGAACGGACACATTAAAACTATTGCTTACATTTTATTTGCTTCATCCCGTATCTATAACCTCATATCCAGCAGGTGTATCAACAACTGTGGAGCAAATAACAATGTTTTGTTTAGAGTTAAATATAATTAATGGATATTTCGCGAATAATACAATTAACTCCCCGTGAGTTCTCCCCTAAAACACAATATTAATCATAGCTCATGAAACGATTTATCAAAATTCAACCCAAAAATGCGAGCACAGACAGTATGCTATATTATTTTGAACCCCAAATGATGTACAGTGCAATTCCAGGAACAAATGATATGACTCCCAAGATGGAAACCATTTTAATATTTTTTGTTAAGGAACCCTTATTAATAATACGGAACCCAGTTTTGGGGTTAATGAACTCTCCTCGAAGGCAATTTTCCTGTACAGTCGTTCGGAAAAGTGTTTCTTTGTGGTGGAGAAAAAAATCTTTATAAGTTTCTTTTTTTTTTGATCATTTTCAATGTCTTTGTTGAGAATAAGAGCAGGGGATTTTTTTAAACAAAAGAGTTTTGCTTGTTGTGTGTCAAGGGGTGAAAGATGATACCATTGAGTACTTTATATTGTTTCAATATTACCTCGTACCTTTCAATGTTCTCTTGAATAAAATATTCACATACGACGTTGATTCGCTCGCCTTTTGAACGATTTGCTGCCTGCCTGTGATATGATGACATAATATGATTGATATGTTCCCGATTGGAGGGTCAAATAGAATTATTATATTGTGTTAACTTTGGTTGAATTTTGAGAAAGTTAATGGCAGGAGAGTACCTTTAGGTTTATAAAAGAAAAAAATTGAGAAATTCACAATCAAAATAAACAATAATTGTAGTGTTCGCTTGTACGTGATGACGTCACTGGTGTTTTCTCTCATAAATCATTATTGGCGATTTGTTTACCATCATACTATAACAGCACCCGAACACATAATTAATCATTACATCGAAAATTAGTCGTGGTCTATAGTTATCAGAATAATAACTGGCTTAAGACAGACACTTCTACTACCCCTGTATTTCTATAAAACCCTGAGTTGGCGACTAACATTTCAATAAATTTCATTAAAAAAATTGTAGTAACATATCAGAAATATCTTATAAACTCCCAGTGTCACAACGATGTTCCAAAGACCGCCTTCTTTGTTTATTAATAGTAAACCTATCCTAGAGATCTCAAACATAATCACAACCTTGCTCAGATAAGCCGAAGGTTGCAGGTCAAGCGAGTAATGTAGAAGGAGCAAGGGCAGAAGTGGGTTGGTTTTTAGTCAGAAAGAGTCTGACATCCCCTCTTTCTTCACCATCACTCATTTTTCACCTTAAAAAAAATCTACGGAGATAAAATACACAGATGGCAATTAATAACAGTGCTTGACTTTTGTAAACGGGCTACATGGCTTAATTTACTCAAGAATAGAATACACTAAGATCTATGCTCTAAACATTCTTGTCACAATCCACTACTACGCAAAAAACCTCTACACTGACTTCCTTACAACTCTTCAAAATCAAACGGCTCAAAGTTAAAATTTTCTTCCTCAGATCCACCTGGAGCGCCCTACATCGAAGGTTATGCAGAAGGGGAGACAGTACGTCGAGGACAGAGTTTAGAGCTAGTCTGCAGGAGTCGAGGTGGAAATCCACCAGCTCAACTCATCTGGTACAAGAACGGGGAGCAGATTCGCATGGCTTATAGGTAAGTGAAATTATTAATGATGATATTGATGTTTTATTTTAATAATGGTTAATATTGAATTCCAGTTAATGTCTGGATTCGGTTAAAGAATGACAAAATGGCAAAAGTTGTCATGGTAATGGCATTGTTAATAGAATCTTGTACGTTTTTATAATTCAGTGTTAATGTTAATTGTAGTTTATAATTCTATATCTGTACACGGATCAGAATTAACTGTTGGGTGTTCAACGGTTTAATTATATATTTATAATCGATTGCTATAAGCTTTAAATCTGCTTACACCATATCCACGATTAAGGCAATTAACAACCGTTGCAGAAATCTAATTTCAAGCATTCGAAAACCCACTTAAGCTCACACACTTTGATTTATAATTAAAAAGGGGTAGGATTAAAAAACCTCAAAGAATATTAAAATCTTTGGAGTCTCAGAAAAGAATGTAATTAGACGAAACGTAATTAGTGAACATACTAATTAGAAATTAAGTTTAATTAGATTTTTAGGTGTAAATTATTAATGTTTAATTTACAGCTTTAATTCGTTTTGTGATGATCATGTTATATAGAGTGTTTTTCGTTTTGAAATCAAAAATTTCTTGCTTTATACATATATACAGAATGTCTTATTCATCGGGTTCAGTGTTTGGTCTTAGAAAAGATCTGTGAGTCGAGGTACAAATAGGTCAACATTTTACTAATACATAATAAGATTTTTTTAACAAACCAGGGTTTAAAAAATATGTATTATTTTGTACATCTCTATTCTTTAACAATCTTTTGAAATATAAAAGATATTAGAAATAAAAGCAGTCACCATTATGACGACAGCGTAAAATATTAACCTTTTACATTAAAACGTAAATCCCGGCGTGCGCCCTCAAAAGCCTGATTCCTGAAACCTACTTAAACAGAATCAGGCTTTTCAAGATTTTTTTCACGGCCTTTTCAGTACGTAACCGCGCGAAAGTGTGGCCTACATAAATATTTATATGGAAGTACTGAAAAATTCAGAGACGCGAACATCGAACCCGCTTCCGTTGGCTGAAAATCAATGCGAGTACAGCCTTTAGTAAGTTTTCAGGCGTGAAAAGCGTGAAATAGTGTAGTTTGTATTAGTTACTATGTTTTCAGTGGGAAAATCTCTCTTACAATTTTATATATCGAGTTTGTTTGAATCCATGTTGTATTCAATCACTAAAATACTAAATCTATAAATAGGTAAATTATATAGCTATATCGAGATTTGTATTAGTACCTTAGGCTATAAAAAACAAGGATTTTACAAAAATGGGTTTATAAACATTAGCTCCAGAAATTATGAAAACTCATCTTTAAGGAAAAAGGAAAAATCAAAAAATTTAATACACGACTTCAAAATTCGTTCTTATCTTTAACTGAACATGCATAAAGAAGTTTTTACTTTTATTGTTGACCTTCTTAACGATGATATCGCCAAACTTTTTGGACGAACTCGAACACTTCAGAAATCGACAGCTATTTAAAAAAATCGAACTTTACAAAAAATAGCTGTATACAACAAAAAAATTGTCATTACATTTTCATAAAATCTGCTGAATAACAACGCTTAAAGATTCTCAATATAAAGTATACAATGCGAAGAGAAACTGGCAAACTCAGCTTTTTGCCTATAAAAAGCCTCCCCCTCCCCCTATTTGGGGGATCGTATTAAGCTGGCAACAGATAGGGCGTATGTCCTCATGATTTATGTAATCTGAAACACAGTGATGGGACACGCTTATCGATAAAATTGTAAATGTACTGCTTTTTTGTCTGAAATCGGTAACAAAAAAGCAGATTCATCACAACTAGGTATCGATAAATAAAATTGATAAAGTATTTGGTATACAGGTCACGTTTTGTTCATCTTGTTTAGTGCTGTCTCAGAAAATATTACGCACGATTATCTTTTCCATATGTATGGTAATTTTTTAGTTCTTTGATGTTTTCCCACCCACAAGAGTGATTTTGAAAAATACCTGTTATTACAAATATACATGAGATACTAAACAGCATACTAATAATAGCATATTTTCTTTATCCACATAGAAAACAAAATATTCCAATAACAAAGTTAAAACATACTCTAACACATTCCTCGTTCACTTAACCCTAGCTTCAAGTTGAAACAATAAAACCGATTACATTGTTAATAAAACTATCGACAAGATCTTATCGACTACTGCACGTAGCGTGCACCCGTCACTTATAAAATTGTATTAAGACGTGCCTACAGGCGACGGAAACTGATTTATGGGCGTCACTAACTGCACCCGCTAGTGATGCGACACATATCGATAAAAACGTAAAAATGCGGTATTTTAAGTTGGAATTGCATTTCGTTTCTACGAGTTGTGGGAACGCTATTGAAACAAATGGAAAATCAATTTTACGAGTAGTGGTCGTTACAGCATAGAATGTATTGCTTTCTTTATGTTGAGAATGAATATGAAATGAGATCTTAAATGTATTAGCAATAAATTTAATTTACAATAATGCAGTAGATGTTTTTTTTCATAAAGACTATATAAATTTAATTGCATTTTAGATTTCAGTTTGAATCACAAATAAGCCTATCTTTTTATCAGTGATAGCATAGCTCATTTTGTTTACAAAAATAGTGTAGTGCCACAAGCTAAAATTATCGATAGTTTCCTACGATCTAAAACGAAATTATCGAGTTCAATTTATGTCGGTACAAATAGAAATGTTTGCCAAATATAATTGGGTTTATAGTGGACTGGGATCCAGTATAATTAGATAGCAACATAATAATGAAGTAAATATTCATTAACATGATTTTAATTGAAATATTTCGCGAATTGTTTGACAAAATGTTAGATAGTGTCTATTGTGTGGATGTGCTTTTGAATTGATTAGTCATTGGATTGTTTGTTTGAACATTATTTTGTATCCTATTTGTATAGTTGTTAGGGTTTAGAATTGATTGAACCCGTTTTTTTATCATTCTTAGCATCATATTATGGGTTTATATTACTTTCAACTTCACGTGTTTAAATCTATTAGCCACAAAAGAGTTGTGGAAATAATAAATTATGATACTTTTTCACGAAATTCTTTTTAACAGAATTTAATAGGCACACTTAGTAACACATTGTAATCACAACAAATAAAACAAGGTTTTTAGCAAAACAAAATAAAAAAACTTTTCCATTTTATATCGCTTAGGATTCTACGAACTAGATAATGAATAAAAAGCATAGTTAATTATAACAATGACCAGGGCACATCAAACAGAAAGGAGGTCAAAGAGAAAAATACAGACTCTTTTTATTATTATGAGTACCTACAAAAAGGTTTTATCGTCCCGACCTAGGCTAAAACAAAACTTTCTAAAACACAAGTAAGTACTACTGTTGATCCTTCAGACCAATTACATAAAATACCTTTAGGAAGTTTTTTTTGTTTCTTCTATGAGGATCAGAAAAATATTTGGTTTTAATTTTTGCTTGCATAGTAAAAGTCGTAGATCGTGGGATGGAATATCGGCCGTTGTACTTAAATTCATTGTTATTCGTATAGTCGTTTAGTAGTTGAAGCATGACAAACAAACACACTCTCAGTCACTAATATTTTCTTATATTATAACCAACGCGCACTCTTACATAAGCAAGAATAAATTGTACACATTCAAACAAATATTAACAACCGTAATAACGTCGCCTATCAAAACGATATTTTCTAAAAAATCAATCATATATGCGTTACTCTCAACAGTTTAAATTGATGCAACATTACAAAGCAGAAACACATTTCATATAAAACCTTAAACATTTCCATTCGCAATGAAAATAAAACCCGATCCAATCTTATATATGCAGAGATTGGAAACAACAAATCAATGATTTATTAACAAAGGATTCCCAGACATTTCGCTAACCTAGCGGAAAATAGCCTTATCGCTTTTATCGATAATCAATTCCCAGCACTAGTGTTAAAAAGTGGCCCTATCTCGATAATATTTTACTTTTTCCCTTCACTTTTTACCTGACTTAGACTGTAGTCTGTCGATTTATTTAGTCCAAAGAATTTATGAGAAAATTTTCTTTATTCATTTACCTTTTTTAAAAGAAAAGCTGGTTATTTATTAGTTTCATAGTGGAGTCGGGCCTTAGGGGAAGTGTAGGGTGTTCCTGACGTGCAAACTTTTATTATTTTAACTCGAAGATAGGCACTTTCTCCCTTTACTTTGGCAAATTCGTTTTCTAACTTCAGCCTTGCCTGGGACTTTTAAAAGGAATTTCTATGTCTTGAAGTTCAAGTGAACGTGACAGGGTTTGTTTGGGTCTCTTATATTGTTTAGAACGTGAGACTCATTGTGGCTGTTTGTCGATATAATCAATTTTAGCAATCGTTTCTTGCCTGTTAGTAACTGAGAATGTTTCGGGTATTGATTGATGCTTGTCTATAGGTACGGTCGCGCATAAAAGGTTATGGTTTGAAATAAAAATGGGTTTTTGTATTCTTTGGACTAGTTAATGTGGCTTTCAATCGTGGTAATATGAGACACAATAGAAGAACAACAGGAGTGGGAGTGCTGGCATTGTTTTGGTGTTTGATGGATTAAGCTGGACTTTATAATTACATTTCAATCTGAAAAAATTGACATATCCATGCTTTGGCACGAATGGGTCAGGTCAACAGGAGTGAATCACAGAAAATTGCCATGAAAGAATTACGACAATCCTTCTCCTTCCTCAAGAATTACTTCTTCACTCTGTAAATCTCCTACACCATTATCCTTAAAAGAAACTCCATTGCGAGTGTCCATGAGCTGCATAGACTTGCTTACCATCAGGTAAATGTCAGCACGCTAACTGACGTTTCACATGAAAAAATCTGGTAGTCGTATTTAGTTCCCAATTATGAGATTTCGCCTTTGATCTCCAATTCGGGAATAAGGCTCTTGCATGACATCTAAAACTTCATAGATGTCTTTGATTACAAAACCAGGTATTTCAG